TCGGGTAAGAACGAAATTGAAGGGTGGGATTTGTTAGATATATTTATAGTTTCGGTTTCTGGTAAAGATGTAGATACTTCACTTACCTCGACTTCTGATACTTTTTTCAGGCCAGAAGATTTGTTACATTCACCTATTATATCTTCCGAATTGCCGGAGGCAGTCATGGAGTGGCTAGAGGTATGTGATTTCTGAATAGAGGGAGTGGATGATGATGTGCTTGTCTCCTGTGTACTCACCTCAATTTCCGGTAAAGTTTTCTCACCTATATCAGTTTTGGTTAAGTTATCTGAAGAATTGCAAGAGGTAGACATATGTGCATGACAAATTGACACGCCGATCACTTTTTGACATTCAGCTTGCTCGTTAACTAATTCTACATTAGGCTTTTCAGAGAAAAGCTTTATTATATTTTGGATTTGAACACCTGTTAAACTAGAAATAGCATCAGCACTATACGTAACTTGTTTGATTTTATCTATTCCTATTTCTTTGAACAATGTATAAATATTTCTAGGCTTTTGAGTTTTCTTACACAAATACTCTCTCTTGATTCCAGGAAGAAATGGTTCCATTTCATTATAAATCTGTGTTCTCGCCATTTGATCGTTAAGTTCGTTTTTAAAGCTAATGTCTGTTACCTTTTTTTCGAATTCCTCACTATAACAATACCAACGTAAAATTTCTTTCTGGCCAGTTTTTTTAGCCTTGTTGAATAAATGGGTCAAACGTGATGCAGAACCTGGGGTTGAATCATCTCCATCTAGCATGTTTTCAAGAATTTGTCTATCAGGTATGGGATTCGAAGGGCCTTTCTCGTTAATAAATGTAGATAACTCACATATTAAACCTTGTTCAACCTTTTGATTATAGGGAATTTTTATTTCGGAAGAAACAGTACTTTTGTGTCCGATTAATAGGTTCTCCCGAAGCATTCTGATCTTCATTGTTTCATAATAGTTTCTTTTCCCTATTTCTCTTTATCATCATATTTTTAACCTCTTCTTTATCTACCCGAACCAGAAAATCAAAAATTTCCTTATCCTCTAATGATTTAGACTCTGTGTATATAGGCGATGTAGAACATTGAGACTTATTACTTTCCAATGGTACTAATGTCTCAGTTTCTTGATCTACATTTTCAGATAATTCCGAAAAAGAATTATTGGATTCATCAGAATTTGAAGTGTCGTTAGAAATATCAGATTCTGGAACATTCTTATTTTGTGTCTGTTCAGGAGTAACGTTGGGATTTTCCGTTTCAGTAAGGGTGCTATTGATTGAAGATTTTTTAATTTCCTTAATTTCATCATCTATCTTTGCCATATGGATAGTCTTTTCTTCATCTTTTTGCTCTAGATTTGCGAACCTAGCTTCATAATCATTCAAAGTTTGTTCTAATTCCATAATTCTAGCTTTAAACCCGCTTCCTTAGCCAAGAATTCAGCCTTTTCTCTTTTTAATTCCGTGATCTCAGCTACGAGTTTGGAGTTCTGTTCTTCTAATGAAGAGACAGAATCTCGAGTTTTCAACTCATCAACCTTGGATTGTGTATTTGCCATTTTTTATACAAATGTGTGTATATTCAATTAACCATACAAGCAGAAAATCACGTGCACATGAAGAATCTTCACGCTGATGCCAAGAAAAAAATCAGAAAAAAATTCCCATAATAATTGGTAATGCTTGGCTAATTGCTTGGCCATCATACCATTGGGTCGGTACATAAATTCAACCCATTTTTGTGATATAATATTATATATATGTATATTAGCTTTAGTTTTACAAATATATCCAAATTCTTTAGTTGAAAATTTAATTGGGTAGGAATGTTTACGTATTTAACGAGCCATTAAGGTTAGAGTTAAGTCATATTCAAGAAGAATGGTATATACTTTCACAGCAAAAAGCAACAATAATTAGGCCTTTTAATCTGAATTGTCTTGTTAAAATACACAAGCAGAAAATCACGTGCACATGAAGAATCTTCACGCTGATGCCAAGAAAAAAATCAGAAAAAAATTCCCATAATAATTGGTAATGCTTGGCTAATTGCTTGGCCATCATACCATTGGGTCGGTACATAAATTCAACCCATTTTTGTGATATAATATTATATATATGTATATTAGCTTTAGTTTTACAAATATATCCAAATTCTTTAGTTGAAAATTTAATTGGGTAGGAATGTTTACGTATTTAACGAGCCATTAAGGTTAGAGTTAAGTCATATTCAAGAAGAATGGTATATACTTTCACAGCAAAAAGCAACAATAATTAGGCCTTTTAATCTGAATTGTCTTGTTAAAATACATGATAAATTATAAATCACATGTACACATTTAAAAAATAAGCGAAAAAAAAATTTGTAATACAAATAAATATGTCTACCCACAATTGCAATTGGTAATACATTTACAAATAGTGGCCTTAGTAGCGACAACACTAACCACCGCTACAACTGAATGGCTAACAACCTTTGTAGTAGTGGGGTGATTTTCAGCAAACTTGTGAACTTTATCAACTGCATTTACGATCATATCATTAATGGTGGTAGTAGCAGTATTAAGAGCTCTACTTACTCTAAGGAAGAAAAGTATGAAGAATTTAACCAAAATAAAGATCATAAAAATTATAAAAATAAACCTTACTTGTAATGTGCTTCACAATATTGTTGGGATGACATTTTGTTGAAAAATATTCATAGTATATTTACGAAACTTATGTGTAGAAAAAACTCATAGGAAGGAAACCAATCTTACTTTTTATACTAAAATTAATGAAATGGAACTGGTTATTAAACATTGACGTCTTTGGAATTCATATGACTATTGCATTGATAATCACAAAGATTAAATCAAAGTCTTTGTAATAATTGTTCTGATTTGGAGACACATTATTCTTCAATGAAGATTTGACGCCAATATGCATCGATGTAATGCATAACAAAAAAAACTTTTCACAAAGAAAATGCATGCATAATGCATGAAAAAACTCATTTCTTCTTCTGTTTTTTGAACTTTGAAACAATTCCATTGTTGTGTGATTATAATCAAGCGAAATATATTTCAATAAAAATACAAGAATAAAATAATTTTACGGTAGAGTTGCAAGGGAGAGAACGTACGGCCCCTAGACCATGAATATACGTCCCTATACTTTGGCTCTAACCAGATAAAAAACTATTTATTATTGTTATATTTTTTTCCATCATCGCTATCATCGCCAGTGTTGAAAATTCAATCAGGGTATCACGTTACACCAAATTTCCATGTGCACGAAATATTTATTATATATTTATTTATTTTTTTGTGCTGATTATTTACACAAATTAAATTAAAAATTAATATCATTCAGGAATAAATTGT